ATATCTCTAAATTATTTATTTCTTATTTTAGTACAGATGTATGCTTTTGGGGATAGGGTGTTGAGCTAAATCATTTTAAAAGTGATTGCCAAGAGGGTAACTGAATGTTTCCTTAATGAATGCATGCATGGTGCTATATCATTGCTATGATTATAGGCATGGTGTGACAGGAATTTAAGTTACTTCTCCTCCCCAGACTTATGTCCTCAACTTATTTCCCATTATATTCAAGGCACCTGTTTTTTCCTGTTGGGAATGTAAAGTGTTCACTGAAATCATAAGAGGAACTACAGGAATATGTGAAAAGTAGTCACCTCTTACTTATGATTTTAATAATTCTGTAGCATTTATTAAATTATCTGTTGAATCACTTTATGATATTGATGGCATAATTTAAAATGACAGGAATAAAGGAACGTGATTTTTAATGTCATGACTTGAATTGTCACAGAAAAGGAAGGTTGAACTTAATTCAGCCAAATGGCTTACTAAGAAGTCCTGGTACATAAAAAAAATGAGATTTACCTTTTTCTGAGATCACATAGCTCAAGCTTTGATTTTTCTTTTAGATGAGATAAACTGACTGAAGATGAAAATATTGTTTTAATTTTGATCTTCATATTACACTGTAGCAAATAAATACCAGTTTTTAAGAGGGAACATGTAAAATACGGTAGCTTGCAGCAGAAGAGTGCTAGGTGCAGATGTTTGCCTGTCGTGTTCTATTTTGAGTTGAGTATCTGCTAAAAAAGAGTTATATTCTCTTTTTAACTAAAAAAAAATAGTGGGAATTTATTTCCATATCTTCTATTTTAATTGTTGCATAGAAAGTCAGCAAAACAGGTTTGGAAGAAAACATTTATCTTTTTCCAGAAGAGATCATATGGAAGCATTACTTGTTTTCAAAATAAGCATGCATTGATTCGACTTTAAAATGTTGTCCCACTTTACCCTCTATTTTTTTGGCTCAGTTTAATACAGACTGCTTCAGTGCCATGTCTATATGTAATGCAGATAACAACAGGGAGAGTTATCAGCTAACCATGACACCCCTCTTTTGTCTCTTCTGTTATGTTATCGAATATTGGCCTGGGAGGGTATAATCTGTGTCAGTCTGGGCGAGTCAAACCTGAGGATTTTAGTTTGCTTTCTAGATCTAGAAAGCAGTGTGTTCTGTGGTGAAATAAACCACTAAATCAGAGTAGGAAACCACTAAATCAGTTGTTGTGTCTCCTTTGTTCAATTACTTGATTTTTCATGTTATTGACACTTCTGGTTTTAGCGAAGTATCAAGGATTTTTGGAATTATTTGGTCAGCAGGATTTTTATCACAGTCTAGGAGTCCATTTTTTATTATCAGGTTATCTCGATTTAAGTAGAATGAGAACTGCATGTTCCCTAATGTCAGTAGAAGGCACAAACATGATATTAGGGGTGATACATAACCCATGGGCACCATGGCCACATGCATACTGTTCAGCTGGCATTTAAAGATAATTTATTAACCAGCATTTTTCCCCAGCCCAGTTTGATAATAAATGGAGTTCATTTCTATTTGGCAAACTCTGAACAGACCTAGTATGTTAGTAGTGTATCAAACAAATCCAATGTCAGAGTGACTGTTTATGAAAGCAGTAGTTATTCTAGTACAGTTACTGGCAAAAAAAACCATATACACGGGTGACATCCCTTATCTGGAATGAAAGAATGTGAAACACAGGCCAAAGTTTAATTTTCTGTGGAAACTCATTTAGAAAACAGCAGTATCTATTTTACCATACACTGTTCCCTAAAGAACAGTAACACAGGGAATACAGAGCAGCCATCTAAGTAGAACTCTTTTTACTAATTACTAGTTTTCTTTTAATGGAAAAATCCATTAAGAATGAAATGTAAAATATCTTCATGGATGCACGTTACCAAAAGAAAGTACTGTTTAAAAATAAAATACCCTGTATGCTTAAACCAAGGAAAAGTGATTGGGGATTTTAAGAGCATACGTAATTCACACATTGCAGGGTATGAACAATATTTTTTTCCAATAGATAAAATACTAAATAATGGGGAAAGTAACTACTATGTGGAAATAATAATTAGAAATATATTTAAAAAGTGAAAAAAATAGCTTGAGGCAGGGAGAAGTGTTTCTAAATGACTACGTAAAGCTTCTGGATCACAAAGAGCCTGAACTCATTTGGAAAGTATTTCTGCTGTGACTCTGTCTGTGACTATCATGGTTTCAAAAGGCACTGTTGGCTGCAAATATCAAGTACTAAATAACTGATTTTTGTTTCAGAAGTTTGTTACCTGCCATAGAAAATCACTTGTCACTCAGGGTTACAGGTCTTGATATTGTCTCAGAGTCAATTTATGCATCAGGAGAATTACACCACAGCCCCTTATTTTAGAATGATCCATCATTTTCTTAAGCAGACTATTGCTTTTAGAGGAGTTTATCCTATCAGATGGCTTTTTTTTTCTAATTATACAAGTACATTGATGAGAAGTAAATTACCATCTGAGAAACTGGCTGGTGTGTGTGATACTGGACTATGGCTGGATGCCGTTTGGATTTCTATATCATCTTTTTAAGAGCAGTGCCAAGAGCTAATGACTGTGATTTGATCCCACATTAGCAGAGCTCTTGTTATTGAAAGGATTCATCATGCATAGAAATTATTTGTGCTTCAGCTAGAGGCCATATTCTATGCTCTCAGTATTCGGCATGGAACCCATGCTGTCTTCATTTCTACTCACTTACCCATGAAACAAATGACAGAAGGGAAGGGACAAATGCAGCCTATGTGTCATTTTCCCTCTGTGCCTCCTCTCCACCCAGATCAATAGAAGAATGGAAGGAGCAATGAACACTCCTACTAAATGTAAAACTAAAGAAAAACAGCGAAGCTTGAAGTGACCTTTTCGGTTTTCTGCTTTTCAAAAAGGTCACACACACAAAAAAAAAGAGAAAACCAAAACAAAGCCCCAAACCCAAAGCCCAGGAGTAATAAGCTCCAAGCAGCTTAACATCACCCTGCTTTCCAGGACCACTGTGTATTTGGTAGAGCTTGTTATTAACAAGGGAATTGTTGCTTCCTGACAGTTGAGGAAATCCTGGTAAAGTTCTAATAACCACTTACTGTTTGAGGAGTGAGGTTTCCCATGAGAGACCAACTTCCATTGCTATGTCCCTTGCTATTCCCGCTGCTAAAGGGAAGTCTCACTTGGTGAAGACAGTGAGCAAGAGCATTTCTTCTGTAGGAGCAGGATAAATAGATCATGTCACAAAAAAGCATCAGCACCCCCCAGGCATAGGTCCTTAACAGCTACAGGATCCAATATGTGACTGTAAGGTTGGTATTGATTGAAGCTGCTGTAAGCACCATCAGTAACCTAGAGTCTCCCTTTGGAACTCTGTACTATAGGTTGCATTAGATACAATATAGGTTTTTTATTTTCTGTGGAGCTTAGGAATTGTAAGAAATGAAATGTTAATATTTGTTTCCTTCAGAGGAGCTTAAAAAGGTGGTTTGGTACAACTTCAAGACCAAATTCATCAGGAAATATTGTACTCAATTTATATATATGAAAATTTGTACCTTACTTTATTTTTAGCAGTGTGGGATAAGCTCGGAGTCAGCCTGAAACTAAGAAGATGTATATTTAAATGTAGCAAAGTTCATTTTAAAGTAAGTTGAGATGTTGGCAAAGCTGCACTACACTGAATGAAATGCAGTTTGAGTCAATACGTTTGCTAAAGAATTGCCAGGTTTTAAGTGTAGATGCAAAGTTCTATTGCCTTATTAAGTCACCCTCTAATTTATGACACCCTTGCATATACCCATGGTGCTGCTAGTGTAATGTTTGCTGCTAGAAGCAAAGAAAACCAAAGTCCTTGGACCTTTGAAAGTGCTGTCATTTTTCTCCTTCTTTAAATTAACCACCAACATTGTATTAGAGTCTACATGGTTTACATTAATCCAGTAACAGAACATATTCTATTCCCGTGTAAGAATAGTTTTAAGTATAGCTGCCTCTGGTAATAACTGGTGATTTTTAGTGTTTTCCACTGAATATCAAGAGAGTTTCTATCTTCATTTAGTTGACAGGTGGGCTTATATTTTAATTGAATCCAGTCATTCATGACTCGAAACAAATGCCTTTGTGATAAAGCAAGACTAATCAGAAAGTAGGAGGTTTAGTCCACTGTGTATGTCATGGATAAGGAAAGCTTACTTTTTTTTTTGGTGCCATTTTTCCTATAATCTAATAACTTCCATACACTGAATTCTGAAAATCTTTCCCCTAAGCAGGAGCATATTTGAGCTTATTACTCTTGCTTATTTCTTCTTATTATTACTTACTTCTTGCTTTCAGTAATTGCACTTAACTGCCAAAGCAAGCCCTTGCTCACATGAATAATTACTTCTATCCAACTAAATCTTGTTACCACGTTATCAACATTAATTTTTTCCCTTAGAAATGTTTAGGTTAATGTTTTCCCTTTGCTCTGGAAGCCATACTTCTCTGGAGAGCTCCCTATTACATTGCCATACATTAGATACTCTCTGGACCCTGCAGCTTCTGGCATGAGCCTCAAAATAATATCCAGGAGATCCTTAATAACAGATTATGCAGAAAGGAAGTGTTTTTGAACATTGGCATTTGGTACCCATTGTAGACTACGGGTATTGTTAGGGTTGTCCTCTATATGCAGGAGAGAAACTCATTATGATTTCTGAGATATGACAGTGCAGTAAGAAATGAGAGGCTTTGAGGTGTCGCTGCTGTTGTGTTCATGTTTTGCGTGCTTTGTACCTAAGAACTGTAGTAAAAAAAAATCCCGTCTTTTCTCCTTACATCTTGCTTTCTCAGGAGAAGACAAAGACCACAGATGCCTGTGAAAGAGCTTGAATAACCCAGGAGACACTATTTCTTAAGATGCAATACAGCAGTGTTGATATTCAGCTGTCCAATTCAAGCTGTCATTGTTTTTGTAGATCCATTACTGGAGATTTTAAGGAGGACTGTAAAGGGAAAGAAGTGCCTTTCCAGCTGTTTACTGATCATCATGATTAGGTGAGCAGCATGGGAGTAAACAATGGGTCTTTTGAAACTTTACTGTTGGACTCCTGAAGGTTTGCTTCATTAGCACTCTACTCATGGTGTCAGCCAAGGCTTCTCACTCCAGCCTACTTTTTCATGGAAAGTCAAGTCTCTTTATTTTTCATTCTAATGAAAAATCACTTTATGTACAGATGCCCAAGCATTTTTATGATATTTAGATTGTTAACGAAAGCCTCCTGCTATTCAGGTACTGGGATTCCTTCCCTGCTGCTTTATTCCCTTCACTTCCATTTCTTTTTCTGTTTTCCATTCTGTACATTTGCAAGAATTGAAGAATGACAGAAATGCCATTGATACATCATCTCAGTGGAGAGAAAAGAAAATAAGAAGGAAATCTGGATGTTATTCACTTTATGTATATAGTCTTTTAAAAAGAGAGCATAAGGACATAAGAGAAAAAAAAAAAGAAAATCTGAAATTTGGAGACTTCCTACCCCCCCAAGCTGTATCTTTTCAGCTAAGTTTATTTCCTTTATTATGTGTAGAGCTGAACTTCAGGAGAAAAGAGTATTTCTAAGTTGGCATCCATGGTATCTTCAGCTTTGATGAACAGAAGTACTTGCTTGCCCCATTAAGCAAAGCCCCATGGAGTTTGCATTTATTCAGTGACTTGTTAAATAGGGACATATTTTGCTGTAGGGGCTTGAGAGTTTCCTTTCTAGAAGAGCAAAAAGGACATTATCATCAGTAGGTTCTTTTTGCACCTTGTGATAAATGAAACATGCTGCACAGCAGGGAAGGAAAGGGACTGATGTTTAAAGGATAATTTCTATTTATGGAGACTTTTTTCTCAAGACATATCTGTAAGCATTAGCACACAAACTCATCCTGGGTATAGTCTAGAAACATTTCGGGGATGCAAAAGCACAGGGCCAGAAATATTGTCAGATATTTGTTAAAACGTACCTATTTCTATTACAGGTCCTTGTCTTCTGATAATTGTGATCAGAAATTGAAGGCAAGTGGATGTTTCAGTATTGTCCTTCTATTCACAAAGATTTAGTCAGAGGCTGTTTGCCAATCTGGTAAGACAATGGGATACAGAAGTATGAGGGAGGAAGAAAAAAGAAAGCAGAAACTGAACCACCACACAACCCCTCAACGACAGCAAAACACAAATTAACCCACCATCTCCCTTCTAATTTGTCCTTCTGGGCTCGTACCGCTCTCCAGAACAAGGGTGCCTCACACTGTGTATTTGTATAGCACTGGGGTACAGTGGGGCTTCAATTTCTGGTAGGAATTTTAGGTGCTCTTATGTAAATTATAGCAAATAATGTATTATTTAATATTGATATTTTCTATTAGGTCTTACTGCCAAATTCCAGGACATTTGAGAATAATGTCATGAGGTTTCTCACTGTAAAAAAGAAACATAAAATACATGATAAGTTATAGAGCAGCAACCCAGCTACTATTTAACCTTTTGGTCTGGGCACCTTCTAGAAAGGCAGACTCTATGGAACTATTTCCATGTTACAGGATTATGGCTGAGAACATGCCATAAATCATGATGTTCCAGATGCGAGTCTGGTAGGTAGTAAAGTTAGCCAAATGAAAGTGCACCTCCTCCTCATGCAAAGCAGCATCCTCTTGTAAGTCATTAGAAGGTTTGTGATTTACAGTCAGCTTATACGAACATTTATTGGGTCTTTCAAATAGAATTACAATAGTGATGCTTGGAACAGATTGACTTGCATGGGACCACAAGTCTTACACTGCCACAAGCTGTTGTTCACTTCTGTGTTATAATTCTTTGGAGACAGTTTACTTAAAGTTCTTGAAGCCAACTGTCATGCGTCTGAGCCCTAGAAGCGAGAGGAATGCAAATCCTAGCACATGATGGAATCTGGAAACTGTGAAAATAAGGTCACTGTAGGTTTACTAACAGCCACAGCCTATGAGATGTCCCAGACTTTTCAGAACCATATGTACTAATTATTTTTATATACAGAATTTCTTCCCAGATCTACCTGGGGCCAGATTCACTTTGCACCTACCATTTTTAGATAATATGAAGGACAGCTACAAGAAAGATGTACATGTAAATTAAACGCCTCTTATTTAAAATGAAGGTTCAGTACCTTGAGACAGTGTTGCAAATACTGTCTATATTACAAATACTGGTTCATTGTATCGTACGTAATTTGAGAGTATGCCCATGTTGCAGTGAGAGGTGTGATACATCACAAGCAGGGAGACCTGCCTAGCTTTTATCTAGCAACTGTGGAGTTGCTGTGACAGCCTGGATTTCAGAGTGGACTGTTCAAGGGTGTCAGTGATGCATCCTGGACAGAAACTGAAAGAACAAGCCATCAGTGAGGTCTATACTGTTGCAGCTTCATTGATTTCTGGTACTCTAGGTATACTGAAGATAATTCAGGTATGAACTATCTGTGTGGCACTCTGCTTGTATAGCAGCACACTATATACTAAATAGAATGGTAGCTTGTCATATGGAAATAATGGTTATTATTCAGCATATCTCCTCTATGAAGATATTCAAGGCAGTGTCTCTACCCTTATGAGCTATTCATCTAATTCTTTCCTGAGGCTGTGAGTCATGGCACATCAGATTTCGGTTTAAAATTCAGAACCAACTGTGCTAATATCATATAGTGTCTTTCTGGCAAACACTGCAAATTCTCAGAACACACATCTGCAATTCTAAACATGCTAGAGACTTGGGTTACAAAGTTTAGTTTAGAAGCAAGCTGCCAATATACACAAAAAAGTTACTGCATCACAAAAACTATCAGCCAGTTACTGAGATGATTGCTGCCTGAATACAAGCTAAAAGCCTTGATGCTTACAGGTCCAACTGCCTTTTCAGGTAACTGTGGTTTTTTGCTTACATTCCAACAACTCTTTCAAAATAAGCCTTTTCCCGCACCCTGTGATCTCACCAGGGCATCACAAAGACTTTACATTACATATTCTACTATATATAGTCTCCATGGTAAAAAAAAATAATCCTCGTGGATTTAAATATTCTGCTCCAGAGCTGCTCAGAGGAAAGACATAGGGAAGGTTCCCTGTTAAAAATTGCAGGTATTCAGCACACATAAGGCATAGTCAAAGAGGAGAGAGAAGGTGTTTGTGTCCTACTGCTGGATGGCAAGATTACAATAAGCATGTGGATATGGAAGAGATGTAGCAGGTTTCTGAACCTCTGCCCCTGAAGTACTTGGGGAGGTAACTGTTTAGCGTCTCCATTACCTGGGCTGTTGCACTTTGTGGAAACAATTAATATTCATCAAAGATGTGAAGGTGGGATCAATAATATTTGAAGGAAACCACTGAAAGTTTAGACAACTTGGCAAATGTTCACCATGTTTGGCACTATTGTGAAAACAATTCAAAGTGTAAAAACAGTTCTGAATCGGGACCCTAATAATTGGTAATTCAAATAAATCCGTGATGCTGAAAGGTAACTTCTTCCTGCACTGAATATAATGTAAAGTCCATGACCTGCTGCTGGAAACGTGCAACAGTTTGGCTGATGGAATGACCCTGGGCCTCCAGTGACCTATTACTTCCTTATCTCTGAAGCAGGATAGAGTTATTTAAGATGTAATATCTATCAAGCTTATGTATGCATGCTTGCACATTATGTGTATAATGTGTTAGTGCTTTTTCCATGTTCCAATTTAAAGGACTGTTTTTTTCAAGTTCTAATTTTATTGATGCAAAGCAAGATATACACGGTAAGTCATAACAGGATAACCATATGCCACTCAATCATTTGATTTACATTAAGGAAACAGCATTAGGGTTTTCTGAAAGCTGTCATTTTGGAATGCCTAAGCTAACAGCTAAGGCATTCTTATCACGTAGCGAAGTTCCTGAGCCTGGAGTATTTCATCAATGACACTTCAACTGAGGAATTTTAAAAATATGCTGATTTGTTTGAAGGGGAAAAAAAAAATGGTTTAAAAATATCTGCAAAAAATGGTTAGAAGAAATGTCAAAATTGATATTTTGGCTTTTCTGAACACAGAAGTTTAGGTACATTTCCTGAGAATGTATTGGGGGCAGGTGATGGGGAGGGGTGTTTAGGGGAAGAAAAAAAAGTATGCAATTATAGATGTTACACTACTGTACATGTCCAAAATGGGGTTAGTTTTGGAGAGGGGTCAAGATCTGCTGATGCGTCTCTTCTGTTTCATATCCAAAGCAGCAGCATAAGTGGAATGGATGCAATCATTTTGTAGGTCCATTCCAATGACTGCTTGGTCCTTTATCGACACTTCCGGCTTTGAGATGCAATGAGTATCTGTTTAGCCACTGAAATATCAGCTACTTAGCTGCTGCTCCGAGCAATGGTGGCGAGTTGCTTCCTATCCAGCTAATTCAGAAAGGAAAGTATCCCACTCTTACCTCCAATGCATGCAATCAGATGGAAGATATCTGAGTTGTTTGTACTGAATTCTTTTAAACCTTCCATATCACACAGATCTGGATTTGTCTCCTTTCTGTCATCCCTGGCTTCCTTACCCTTGGTCTGGGTAACACCGGGTTACAGAGCATTGTAGGCAGGGATTTCAGTTAACAAAAGCAAGGTAGGTAGGATGTGCTTCTGCTCCTTTCCTAGTCCTTAAAGACCTTAAGTGTTGTTTTGGCCCATTATTCAATGTTGCAACAAGACTTAGGTTTCTTATTGCGGTTTTTCCTAATGAAGTTCTGGCCCCAGGCCCCTCAAGCAGCGTATTCAGCTTATGGTTGAGTCTCCAGGAGTTGGAATCCTTTAGCCAGAGGAAAGTCTTTCAGAAACAATGCTGTAGGGGATGTAGAAATATTGGTGAGTCAGTTAACTATATAATAAGAAAGGAATAGGCACAGCAACATCTTTTATATGGAGCGCTCACCTGGGAATCAGGAGACCTAAATTTAAATCCCAGGTCTGTCTCTGCACCCTTATGTAATGTTATGTAGTCACTTAAATTTTGTGTGTCTT